TCTTCTCAAGAACCACTGGGCCAATTTCAACCAAAATTGCTACAAAGTATCCTAGGGTAAAGAGGATTCAAGTTTGTTCAAATGAAGGACCACGCCCTTTTCCAAGGGGAGATAATTATGAATTCGTGAAAAAATAATGGCATTTTAAAAAAAAAATCTTCTCCTCAAGAACCACTGGGTCAGGAAAGATGAAACTCATGTGGAATCATCTTCAGGTAGTTTAGATTCATGTTTGTTCAAATCATGACCCCCGGGGGTAGGGTGGGGTCAAAATGGCCGATCAAAGTTTTACATAGGAATATATAGGAAAAATCTTCTTCTCAAGAACCACTGGGCCAGGAAAGATGAAACTCATGTGGAATCATCCTCAGGTAGTGTAGATTCAAGTTTGTTCAAATCATGACCCCCGGGGCTAGGGTGGGGCCAAAATGGCCGACCCAAGTTTTACATAGGAATATATAGGAAAAAATCTTTGAAAATCTTCTTCTCAAGAACCACTGGGCCAGGAAAGATGAAACTCATGTGGAATCATCCTCAGGTAGTGTAGATTCAAGTTTGTTCAAATCATGACCCCTGGGGCTAGGGAAGGGCCAAAATGGCCGACCAAAGTTTTACATAGGAATATATAGGAAAAATCTTTAAAAATCTTCTTCTTAAGAACCACTGGGCCAGGAAAGATGAAACTCATGTGGAATCATCCTCAGGTAGTGTAGATTCAAGTTTGTTCCAATCATGACCCCCGGGGCTAGGGTGGGGCCAAAATGGCCGACCAAAGTTTTACATAGGAATATATAGGAAAAATCTTTTAAAAATCTTCCTTCTCAAGAACCACTGGAATTGGAAAAATGAAACTCATGTGGAATCATCCTCAGGTAGTGTAGATTCAAGTTTGTTCCAATCATGACCCCCGGGGCTAGGGTGGGGCCAAAATGGCCGACCAAAGTTACATAGAAATGCATAGAACAAATCTTTTAAAATCTTCTTCTTAAGAACCACTGGGCCAGGAAAGATGAAACTCATGTGGAATCATCCTCAGTTAGTGTGGATTCTACATTGCTCAAATCATGACCCCTGGGGCTAGGGAAGGGCCAAAATGGCCGACCAAAGTTTTACATAGGAATATATAGGAAACATCTTTTAAAAATCTTCTTCTTAAAAATCATTGAGAAATGAAATATGAAACTTATTAAATGAAATTATCCTCAGGTAGTGTAGATTCAAGTTTGTTCAAATCATGACCCCTGGGGCTAGGGTGGGGCCAAAATGGCTGACCAAAGTTTTACATAGGAATATATAGAAAAATTCTTTAAAAATCTTCTTCTCAAGAACCACTATGCCAGAAAAGATGAAACTCATGTGCAATCATCCTCAGGTATTGTAGATTCAAGTTTGTTTAAATCATGACCCCTGGGGCTAGGATGGGGCCAAAATGGCTGACCAAAGTTTTATATAGGAATATATAGGAAAAACTTTAAAAATCTTCTTCTCAATAACCTTTGGGCCAGGAAAGACGAAACTTATGTGGAATCATCCTCAGTGAGTGAAGATTCAAGCTTGTTCAAATCATGACCTCTGGGGCTAGTTTTGGGCCCAAAATGGCTGACCAAAGTTGTACATAAGGATATATAGGGAAACCTTTTAAAATCTTCTTTTCAAGTACTTCCAAGCCATGATTAGTGATATTTTTCTATTTATATGGAATCATCCTCAGGTAGTGTAGATTCTACATTGTTCAAATCATGACACCCAGGAGGGTTAAAATTCAAGCCCCCCTCCCCCCTCCAGTAAACTTTCAGTTTTTATCTGATATGTGCTTTTTCCTAGTAGATGTGCTCAGGTGAGCGATTTGGCCCTTGGGCCTCTTGTTTATAATGCCCGTGATGTCGAAGATTTTGCTGCTCCGTGACTAAATAACATGTCCTAATAAATCACCCAAAATTGATATCACTTTACAACGTTTTGATATAAATTTTTGAAGACCATATACATGTAAATAAAGATTATTTTATATTATGTGTGATTTTGCCCGATTATGTCGTCAATTTTTTTTCTGTACAAGTCCGCGTAATGTTTGAACGGCCCTTGTTATTAAAGGTAACAAAGGGAAACTGTCTAAAGAATTTTTTTTCAGGGAAATATTTTTCCGCCCACAATACTCATAAATCTTTGATTGAAGTAAAAGATGATTCCACATGAGTTTCATCTTCCTGTCTCAATGGTTCTTGAGAAGAAAATTTTTCATGATTGAAACTATTTTCTAATGTTAAAAACCATTTATCCACTTTCCTCAGGACAATATGTTTGCAATACACTAATAATTTTTGCCTAATACAGATATTTTCTGATGTATTTCAGTAAGATAATCTACTTGATATCACAAGAGGCCCACGGGCCTTATAAGGTCACCTAAGTATTGTGTAACAACTTTCAAACAATTTAATTTTGTTCGTGTTTTAAACCAGAGGCTATGAAATTCGCAATTCACAATTTTGAAAGAGGCATCATTGCTTATCATAATTCAAGACTTAGCATGCTTACTCTAGATATTTACTTAATACCCAGAGGTAGATAAGAGTAACAAAGAGAAAATACACTTCCACTTTATAAACCAGTTGTGCACCTCATCCCAAAGGAACCACTGACCCTGGGGCCACATATTTCAAAATTTTGCAAATTTTATCAAAAAATGATTGATTAATACCAAAGAGCAGATTTCAAAGCATAAATTTATTTTTAGACTATGTAACCACCCAACCCCACCCCTGACCCGTATTTTCTTTATATAATCAATAGAGCCCCGTCCTAACACACTTTAGATAGTTACTTTTTTCCCAAGTTCTACATTACTTTGTCACGCAAGGAAATTTGGTAAAAGGTGTTTTAATGATTTGAAAGCCATAAAAAGAGTGCAGCCTTTTAAGTAATTTATACAAGTAACCAATGGAAAAAATACAGTGCCGGTGTAAAGTTGAATAATGACCCGAGCTGAAAATTGAACCGGGGTCATTTTTCAACGTTGAATTTTGAAATAGGGGTGATTTTTGTCCGTTGAAAATTGAGACCAAAAGTCGTTGAATTTATACCCGAGGTCATTTTTCAACAGCTTGATAATTTTTTTCTTATCTCTGATGACCTCACAGTTGAAAATTGACCCTGTTGAATATTGACCCCACCTCAGAGTCTGAACATCATTTGAACTTGGAGGTTGTTTTTACAGGACTTATCAGTATCTCTATACTTATATTTCGGTTTCTTTTTTCACTTTTCCAGGATAATAGAAATAAACATATCACCTCGTGTATATATGATTGTACATTTTGATCAGTGTATGATTTCAGTTATCTTCAAGCATGGCAAGTTAATTTTTTGACAATACTTTCTAAAATCCATAGCATCCATAAATAACTACAAAACTATGAATAGGGCATAAAACAAAATTCCTGGAAATCTGGTGTAAAAATAAAGACATAAATCAGCCAAACTTGTCCATGAAATTTATTACGACCCTACACTCTAAACCAAACTTCTAAACCAGGCATTCCTTTCTGATGGAATATAAGTATAGAAATACACATGACATTGTATAGTAAAGAGTGTTCGGCAGTTTTTGTAACGGGTACTTGCCCTAAGCCTACCTCATCAGGGGTCCACCTTGGCAGTGTATTCTTGTTGTAAATTAATATGAAAAATTATATCATAATCGCCTTTGCTTTTGTCTTTCCTATAGGCTTTAATTGGTTGCGAGGTAAATACTTCTTTGCATCTTGTGTCTGTTTTTGTTTCGTTCCAGTATTTTAACATGCGTAAGATGACTCTCGGATTAAAGGATGAGGTGACATAACTGCTATCTGGGGCCCCTTTTTCCATGACGAATTATGTTTAATCTACAACGATGTTGTCAGTTTTCAGACATGAGTGAATAAATACGACGCCTTTTAAATAGTTTCGTTGGTTCAGACACAATTTAAGTATAAGGAATACTGCATTATCTTGATTTTTTAGACCCTATCACAGCTAAATTCGGCCAGGTTTGTGAGAATTTCTTTTATGGCAAGAGAATGGGCGGGTCTTAGTACAATAGAGGGGTATGCGTGTCCGAGAAGACCTTATATGGCTATTGTTATTATTTCGCACAAGTCATTGTCCTCCTTTTCTACATTTCAAACTTTAATAATGGTCATTAAAGGCTATTTATACTTAATAGTACGCATGGGTTTTCAGCATTTATGGTTTTTAGGACAAGAAATGCACATGAAACTTGTATTCACTGATACTCGGGAATACGTGCAGACCTAGCGAATTGCTCACCAAACACGCTACAAAATTAACTTTGAACTAATATTAAATTGAATGTATATTCATCAATTGTTTGTAATTGCATATTATTATTTACAAACAGTCTTAAAACCCGAGATAATAAAAGCACCGCCTTCAGATTTACCTGGTCTGTATTTCCCCGTCAATCCGCCATGAAATTAAACATTTCAGCAGCCTTTCTTTATAATATTTTTTTTTATGGTAGGACGAAATGATTTTAAAAGCTTATAACGCCCCTTTCGTCTTAATAGGCGTTAGCATAATGCAGCCTTGCATAATAAACAAATTTACATTTCACAAGCTGACAAATCGCAAGTCTACAAATAAGACATAACTTGCATTTATACACTTTTCAAGTTATGTTGGATAATTTACAATTAACAAATTGTGAGAGAACAATTAACAAATTATGAAAATATGATGATTTACACTTTACAGATTCGGGTTTACATGTGTATATTTTAAGAATTACAGAGTTGGAATTTGGAACCCATTGGCTTTCCATAGTTTTATGTCCCCCGTCGCTGATTATCCCGGAAAATTATTATCCAGTCAATCGTGGTTTTTAAATTACTTATTCATATGCATAATCAAAACAACGCTTTAAGAAGCCATCGCTGAAACGAGAATATCAAGTTCTATTCATACTTTGACCAAATTAAAACGTGAAAATTCAGAAAAAAAATTATCGCTATTTTTGCTTTTTAAAAATTTCAACGTACGAAAAATGTGTTCCAGAGAAATAGTAACATTACAGCTAGGTCATTATTCAAACTTTGTAGGCACACATTGGTGGAACTTACAGGTAAGTGAAGAAAATCACTAATATGTTTTACGGTGTGACCGTTTGGGCGAGCGCAGTTGTACCTTCAAAAACACTTGAGATCAGCCACTTCGAACGTCAAGCCGCACGAGACTTCTCGACTAGCTGTGACGTCATACAACGTCACAAATTAAGCTCGTCGGAGCTTACGGAGACAGCCGAGCGTCTGTTTGAAACTATAGAACTAGTGCAATTTTTGTCGAAAAACATTGCAGAGTTATTTCTTGTTTCTTTGAAATATTTCTACAAACTGAAAGTCTGATATATGCTTTACGTTATTATTTATTTATTTATTCGGCAATATTTGCGCAAAGGACATTGAGTAGTGCAGGAATTCTGGGAATGTTGCACAGAGAAATTTGGCTGACGTATGTACAGATTTCAATCCAAATTTCCTCTGTTCTTACACGTTAGTCTATTGAGCTTGCTTTGCGAGCGTCGCTTTGCGACGCTCGCTGCGCTCGCTATAAATGATGCGTCCGTTTTGTTTTGTTGTTTTACAAAAAAAAAAAAATAATAATAAAATAAAAATTCAAAGGCAAAATTAGGGCTTCTGAAATATCATTATTGCTAAGATAGGTATACTTGCAGTACGTCTGTTATATACATATGACTTTGATAATCATGATTATGTGTTATAAGATTTTTTGATTTTATCAGGTCCAGCACAATGTCTTGATTAAGCTATATAGCTTTTTAAAGCTATATAGCTTTATTAAGCTATTTAAAATAGCTTAATAAAGCTATTTATATGCAGTTTTTAACAAAAACATTTATATTGAGAAATAAACAAAAAGTCGCAAGTATTTGACGATTCATATATGTACTTTGGGCTATCAAAAAAACAACCTAGATCATAGAAAGTTCTAATATTGCTGTTAATTGTTGAATACTTTTAAGCAAAAGATGAATTTTCATTGTTTGGGTAACTGCACTGGTGGAAAGTGTCCTATTGAGTGCAGTGAGGCGTGGATAAGTATGATTGCTTCTCATTGTGTTGAACTGTTACCAATCAATTATCTTGTTAGCTATAACTGACCTCCTTTATAATTTCATTCAAGAAATAACTGTGTGGTCACTCATCAATAGCCCCCCAAACTTTTAAAAATTTGAGTACAAAGTCTCTCAAGGAGACGCAATTTGGTGAGTGATTTTTACATGCATTGTATTCAGAAGAGTTCAAAGTTTAATATTTCCACTGCATTAAGGTGCGACTTTTTGCACATGCTGAAAAAATAAAATTTTTGAGAAAAAATTATGATAAAATAGCTTAATCAAGCTATTCCGAATAGCTTAATAAAGCTATATAGCTAAATCAAGCTATATAGCTTAATCAAGACATTGTGCCGGACCTGTTTATGGGGTTTCTTTCGATTTTTTTCTGGCAGGATTCTTCCTTCTTGTACAATCCAACAGAAGCACAACAGAAGGAGAAAGAAGTGGACCATGATATTTTATGGAGAGAAGGGAGAACCCTCAAAGTACAGTTTTGTCTTCATGTCACACAGTCAAATTCATGGGTGTTTTTTAAAAGTGGCACTTTTAAAAATTTTTTATTGATGTGTACATGTATTTAATGTACATTGTCATACATGTAGCAGAACATATACATGTATTTCATAGTATGTAATGGATATATGCCGAATACTGTTCTATATGTAATGGATATATGCCGAATACTGTTCTATATGTAAAATTATCAGACTGTTTGAGGCCCGTTAGGGCCGAAAACTGTCTGATAATTTTACATATAGAATAGTATGAGGCATATATCTTACTTAAAACATTGCCATTTAAATGTCCAAAAATTACCTGTAGGAGTCCGATAATAACACAGTGGGAGTTTAGGCATCAATTGTATTTTACCCGTCTAATAAGTGGACAAAAGAAAAGAGACGGATAAAGAGTGGGTGAACTGTTGTTTCATTTCATTCATTCAATGGCAGTCGTTTAGATAAGCAGGACAGGGGTCCGGTGGGGAAGGATTTCCTTTTTATTTTGGAACATTTTTATTTATTTTGTGCATAAATTTTTTTGGGGTGAAATTACCACCGTCACCATGGAAAGTAACATGCGAATTTTCATCCTGGAGTTTTAGTTTATAGAATGGAAATTCTCAGCTTTTACAAGTGCAGCCATTTGGAAACAATCCTTATAAAAGAAATAAATTTGCCGATTTTTCTCAAAAATGGATTTAAATTCAATTATACAAAGTGCTGTATCAAAAACACTTAAAAGATGGGAATTATTAATTTTGAAGATGGTTTAAACTCGATTTTTTCATGGATTTTCTAGTTTGTAGCAACTTAATTTCCTTGCGATTGCTTTCCCTAATTTTTTTCCTTTTTTTTGGAGGGGGGGGGGAGGGGGTTGGTGGGAATATTTATCTTATTCCACTCTTCTTTTTGTTTTTAAATACCGTCCGATTTTGTTATCATTGCCGTCTGATAATATATTATCAGACTGGTAATTATTATTATCGGACGGCTACAGGTAAATTTTGAGACTGCAAGACCAAAGGCATGACGTCACAGCAATGTTTTAAATTGTAATATGATAATATATTATCAGACTGGTAATTATTATTATCGGACGGCTACAGGTAAATTTTGAGACTGCAAGACCAAAGGCATGACGTCACAGCAATGTTTTAAATTGTAATATGAAATTCATCAGATTCAAGAGATTAATGTCTTTATAGCTTACCTGAGCTATAAGCTCAAGTGAGCTTTTCTGATCACATATTGTAAGGCTTCAGTCTAGCTGTCCATCTGTCTGTCTGTAAATTTCACATTTTTTACTTCTCAAGAACCACCAGCCCAATTTCAATCAAACTTGCCACAAAGCATCCTTGTTAATTTCAACCAAATTTGCCACAAAGCATCCTGAGGATTAAAATCTATTCTCAAATGAAAAACCAGGCCCTCTTTCAAGGGGAGATAATTAAGAAATAGTTAAAATTTAGTAGTGGCATGTTCTAAAAATCTTCTTCTTGAGAACCACTGGGCAAGGAAGGATGAAACTAATGTAGAAGCATCTGACCTCAGGTAGTGAAGATTCAAGTGTGTTCAAATCATGACCCCAAGGGTAGAGTGGGGTCACAATAGACGGTCAAAGTTTTACTGGTACATAAAAATATAAATGTATAGGAAAAATTGTTAAAAATCTACTTCTCACAGATAACAAAGCCATTCCTGATTACCCATATTTATATGGAGGCATCCTCAGGTAGTGAAGATTTTAATTTGTTCAAATCAAGACCCTAGGGTATAGATCGGGGCCTCAATGGACAATCAAAGTTTTTCCAAGGAATATATAGGAAAAACGTTATCATCTTCACAAAAACAACAAAGCCTTGATTGGCCTATTTATAATGAAGCGTCCTGTCCTCAGGTACCGTAGTGTAGATTCAAGTTTGTTCATATCATGACCCCCTGGGGTAGAGTGGGACCACAATTGGTGATCATAGTTTTACTTAGGAATTTATAGGAAAATTTGTTTATCAAGAACAACAAAGACATGTTTGGCCATATTTATACATGTATATGGAAGCATCCTCTGATAATGTTGAATCAAGTTTGTTCAAATCATAACCCGTCCAACCCTTTTGGGGGTAAGTTGGGACCACTTATGCATTTAATTAAGCTTTTTCAATACAGATTTTTTTATGCTATATTTTCTAGCCACATTGTACAGGTGAGCGATGTGTGCCCATGGACCTCTTGTTCTTCTATCACTCTGTATACTCATCTTACCATTTACAATTTATTATACGCCCGTCTCAAGACGGGACGTATTATGTTATAGGCTTCGTGTCCGTCCGTCTGTCCGTCTGTTAGCTTTTCTCGTGTCCGGCTCATAACTTTAATACTATAAGGCCTAGAGTTATCAAACTTTGTGAGCTGATACATCTTGGGTAGAAGGTGTGTCGCGCACAAAAAGTAGGTCGCTCTGACCTTTAATTAAGATGTTATAGCCAAATATGGAAAAATCCTGTCTGGCTCATAACTAGAAAACTATGAGACCTAGAGCTTTCAAACTTGGCAAAAGTAAACAGCTAAAGTAGAAGGTGTGTCGCGGCCTATTTCAAGGTCACTGTGACCTTTAATTTAAGTGATTTTTTTAAAAAAAAAATGTCTTTTGAATTTTAAATTTCATAATCCTAAAAAATGTAAAAATATAGTTGTATCCTTATTAAAAAATGTTAAATTAAGTAAAAACTTATTTTTTCATTATATACTTTACAGCAATCTGTAACAAATGTTTATGCTTTGACAGGAACTCAGTTTGTCCCATGGGCATAATTATCAAGCACTGGTCAAGAAGAATTTTGATAGCAGAAACTTGCATGTCAAGTTAGTGAGAAATTAATGAGTTTATTGTCAGGAGCTAAGAGGATCTCTATAGATCTGATGCAGCTGTTATCTTAATTCATCTCTTGGGAGTTGGGCAAAAAGAAATGGCCTCATAGTTGCTTGTGTTAATTAAGAGTTCTTGATGGCTAGTCCAGATAAAGATCTTCCAACTGGTGTAATGTAATTAAAACAAATTTATGTTTTAGTGTATGATTAAAACTAAATTAGTATTGTATAATTAATATAATTAAAACTAATTATACATGTGTTCATTGAAAAAAAAAAAAAAAATTCAATTTTTATATTTGCAACAAATTGAGGTCATGTCTCACCTAGAATTTTATAGTCTGAAGAAATTATAATTTATGTTTAATTTTTTTTATTAAACTGTAGCATTTCTACGACTATTATTTCATAAAATATGCAATAAACAATTAAAGTTTAAGTAAGCTGAAGATGGATATTTGTTATGCTCTAACACAACCAGTTTAGAGTTATATGATGTATTTGTTATAATCAATCCCTACACTGCAAGTCTCTTAGAGATGTATGATAAGAAATGGAAATTAGATCATTGAAATTTGTGTCAATCTGTTAATCAAGGCTACCTGATTTTTTTGCATCCTAACCAATTTATGATTATTGAACAATATTTGACGGGCGTATCATGCTGTGGCTGGGCACTTTATTTTTGATATTGTACATGCATGAATCTTGAAAAGAAAAAACACTAGATATTGCACTTATATTTAACTTATAAGGATAATTAGGCTCATGAAGTTAATGACTTTTTGTAGGGTGAAATAACATTTACCCCACGATTGATAGCAGTGGATCTGAAAGGGAGTCTGAGCACCTTAAAACAAGAGGGAGTCTTGTATGAAACGAATCATCATGAAGATATCAAATGGTGAGATTGTTAGATATATACGAAATCTACCCGTTAAGTTTTGCCCATGCAGTTTTGAATTCACTCAGTCATAAGTTTTCTTTGACAAATTGTACAGTGTTCTTTGAATTTTCCCCATTTTAAATTGTTAAAACCTGTGAGTTGGATGAGTTGGCGAAAGGGACAAAAATAAAAATATTCACTGTATACAGTAGGTACAGTATATTTTACTGTTGGGTAAGTGTCAGTACTGTTTTGAAAAATCAAGCATTAAAAGTATCTTACCAGGTACTACTTTTACTTATTTGCAAAAACATTTTATTGGACTTAAATGATTTTCAATTCTGAATCAGTTATATTTTAGAATGATACTAATTTAATACTGTATTTATTTTTTCTTTCATTTTCAGGAGTGGTGATATCACACTTCATAAGTCAACCCCAGCAGAAAAGAATGCTTATTTAACAGAACTTGAAAAAGAGGTACATCTATGTTAGGTTAATGTTTAGGGCATTTCTAGCTCACCAGAGCCCTGGGCTCAAGTGAGCTTTTCTGATCAAAATTTGTCTGTTGTCATTGTCATAAACTTTTCACATTTTCATCTTCTTCTTAAACCACAGCCAAAATGTACGCTCCTCTCCAATCTGGCCGTGGTTGAATGAGGAGAGAATTCTTTGTATCTCATTAAAATATTGACCAATGCGAGTAAAGCATAGTAGGATGATGAACTCTATCGCAACCTTTCAATATCCAATCGCAGCGTAGGAAATATTTCTTGTATACTGTTGACGTCAGTTGTTGATTTTGATTGCGATGGAAACAAAACATGCCACTAATTGAATATGACGTCACAATAGAGAGGCGTAAATATTCAAGATTACAACACTTTTTGTGATCAAGCAGCCACGGGTAGGAGAGAGCTATATTTGGGACTCCAGACCATGGCTTGAGACAATGATTTCAACCAAACTTGCCACAAAGTATCCTTGGATGAAGGGGATTCAAGTTTGTTCAAATGAAGGGCCATGCCCTTTTCCAAGGGAAGATAATTATGAATTACCAGAAAATTAAAGGAGTCTTTAGAAATCTTCTTCTCAAGAACCACTGGTCCGGGAAAGATGAAACTCATGTGGAATTATCCCCAGGTAGTGCAGATTCAAGTTTGTTCAAATCATGACCCCCGGGATTAAGACGGGGCAACAATGGCTGATCAAAGTTGTACATAGGAATACATATAGGACAAATCTTTAAAAATCTTCTTCTCAAGAACAGCAAAAATCTTCTTCTCAAGAACAGCAAAGCCATGTCAGATGATGGTGATATTTATAAAGAAGCATCCTCAGGTGGTGTAGATTCAAGTAGGGTGGGGCCACAATAGATCTTTATATGTAATTATATTTGTACATCATGCTGTTTTTTATGGCGTCGGGCTTGCCCGATCGTCATCTAGCGATCAGTCAGGTTTACGCGACCGCACGTGTCAGTGGATGCATCCAGGGTGCGTCGATTTACCCAAATGGACCCAAATGGAAACAAATGGACCCAAATGGAACCCAAATGGACCCAAATGGAAACTCAAATGGACCCAAATGGAAATGAAATGGACCCAAATGGAATAAAAAATATATCTATACAGTGTATTATCGTATTCTCAAATGTTTACTTATTTAAAATATTGCAAATAATGAACTTAATAAAAGGAGAACATTTTAATAATTATTTTCTTATATTGTATTTAAAAAGAAGACGATTTTTTTCCCATTTGTAATAACTTTTGCACATAATTGAATACAAAACTGGAGTAAATAGTGTCCATGTCAGTCAGAACAAAGTGGAGAGGGGGGTGGGGGTGGGGGGACTGAGAGGCCAATCCCCACCCCCCCTGATTTTGCCGGTACATATAAAATGATATAAAAAATAATTTAATTTCATGTCTCAAAATACAATGTTAGAAATAATTTATTAATTTAAAACTCAATTTTAACTGTAAGATCATTTATTTTTATCATTTTATATAAGTAATAAAATACGATAATACATATTTGATATTCCATTTGATTTCCATTTGGGTCAATTTGATTTCCATTTGGGTCCATTTGTGTTTCCATTTGGGTCCATTTGGGTAAATCGACGTGCCGTGCATCCGCAATAGAAAATAGCAACAGCTGTAAACCAATTTCTTTTAAAACGTTCACAATGAATAATAGCTTGAATATAAAATTAAATCAATTGTATCTTCAATTTATACTACTACAAAACAACGATATTATGTTTAATTTTTACGCAAGAAAACGTTATGGTTGTTGCGGATGAATTTCTACTGAGAGATTGCGTCGAATGACATGAATCACATTTTGGGACCGATTACTGTAATACAAACAATCTTAAATACGGTAAAATAATTACAAAATAAACACGAATACAACAAGACTATAAAGATTGAATTTCTTAATCTTAGCTTTACTTTTACGATCTTCAATCCAATTTTAGCCGAACAACCTACGATATTGACCAGTAAAGCCAGTATTACTGTATTTATCCATTTCCTCCATTTGTTTACCGCGCCTTATCGTAAGTCGATCGTACTTGTAACATTAGAGTCATGGTTGTAGTTAAGATGCAATCACTATTCAACAGACAATACTCTGACAATGGCAATTAATTAAAATAATTTATGAAACCCTTCATATGTCTTCGATTGACTGAAAAGAAATTAGATTGATATAGAGAGGAAAAGACAGGTGATCACCGCCATTAAAGCCAGGGATTCCTGGCTTGAGTGACGCGCCATCTATCGCCGCTGCTGTACGATACAGCATGGGAAATAATCACACAATAAAGCTATCTGCTGACTCAGTGGAGAACTTTAAACCGATTTATGTTTCCTGTGGTAATTAAAATATGTCAATTCTAATAAACAAATCTAGTTTGCAGAGTTGTTGCAGTTCTATTTTATCCAATTAATGTATGCCATGTAATGTGATATGGGCTTGCTGATCTGTTATCTGGTTATATCACGCCTGAAAAGCGAAGTGAAATGTCTTGTACATAGGCCTAGTATGAAATGTTTAACACTCCTGTGAAACAAAAATCTGAAGAAAGGAATACATGTATTTGTATTGTGTGTGGAAATATTAGTGACAGTGTTAGATTAATTGAATCAAAAGCAAATCTTAAAGAACTGTTAAAAAAGTATGGCGGTATAAGTGTTGAAGGCGGAATACTTTGTAGAAATTGTTTTCAAAAATTAATTAACTTGGATAAAAAATGCGAGAGTTCTACAATTTGTGTCAGAAAAACTATGTGGCTGTGTATACTAGAGGAAAGCGAGAAAGAGGCAGCACTTCGTAAATCCAACTTTTTTCCGTAGCCCGTCGGTAAAACAACCACGGTATCGTTAGGCTTATTCAAAGCACCTTTAATACTTCTTCCTTGCAAAGACTTTAGAAAATTTAATGTTGAATATCTTTCACAATTTATTTCTGTCAATGCAATTTTCGTACGTAAAGAAAACTCGAGGTAACGATCATCATCCATAATATAGCACTCTATGATCTGTTTTGGTTTCCCCGAGGTATTTAAATTCTACGTCAGCAAGAGTTTTTATCAGCCAATGAGCGCGGCCGGTAGAGGGCTCTTTACATTACTGATCACCTGTCTGTATATCGGATATCAGACAGGCAGGCCAGTCTATAGAGGATGGACATTTCTGACGATGTCTGGTCAATTCGAACCCTGACTCATTCGGACCAGGACACAAGGCTATCAGGCCCGAATGTCAGACTGCTCGGCCCAACGACACCTCGGCCCAACGATACCTCGGCCCATTGACACCTCGGCTCCGACGGCTCGGCCCAAATTTGCAGACACCTCGGCTCACATAAAAGACACCTCGGCCCAAACAGAAATATAATATTTTAATTAAATATATATTTATTATTTATGCTGTTATATAGCTATGAAATGCAAAAGAAAATTAATTTGATACATTTGCAATCTTCCAAGACGGCAAATTGACGGTAATTAAAGAAAGATAACCCATTAGTAACTTGATCACAAGTGCTAATTATGTTCCCCAAACGAAGTTGGGGAACATATTGTTTTTACTCTGTTTTTTATTATTATTATTCTTATTTTTCTTCCTGGGAAAATTTTGTCCGCGAGTGATCTTGTAAACTACACATCAAACTAAGGTGAAATGTTTTTAAGGTCAGTAGACATGTAATGTAGATTTGCGGAACGAAGGTCAATTTGCGCGCACGTGCTTGCAAGAGCGCGCACGTGCAACATGATAAATGATCGATTACATTGATACAGATGTAACTTTTTAAATTTTTGATGAAATGCTTTAGAACTCATAATATAAGCATACATTAGAAGTATAGACAATATGACATGGTCAAAATAGCAAGATCTCACGCGCATGCACGTGCGTTGCACTCTGATTGGCTGAAACAAAAATCTCAATATCTTTTTTGTCTTTTGACGAAATGCTTTGAAATTTTGATTATAGCCATGCATTAGGATATCCTACAATATGATATATAGCAATTATCATGAAAACACGTGCATGCACGTGCGCTGCAATCTGATTGGCTGAAACTTTAAATAGCTATAACTCATTTGGATTTCAACCAAAGACGATGGGATTTGAAATATAGATAGATATTATGAACTACTACAAGAAAGTATGGTCAACATGCACATGGATACACGTGCATGTACGTGCGCTGCAATCTGATTGGCTGAAACTTTAAACAGCTATAACTCCCTTGGTTTTCAACCAAACAGGATGGGATTTGGAACATAGATAGATATAATGGACTACTACAAGAAAGGTATGGTCACCATGCACATGCGCACGTGCGTGTACGTGCGCTGCAATCTAATTGGCTGAAACTTTTAACAGGTATAACGCCCTTGGTTTTCAACCATATGGGGTGGGATTTAGAACATAGATAGATGTAATGATCTTCTACAAGAAGGTATGGTCACCGTGCTCATGTATGCACGTGCGTGCACGTGAAATGAACAAAATCAAAAATACACTTGAATGAGCGTATTTTTATTACTTTTGGATTAAATACTTTAATTTTTAGTTTATTAAAATATATGGATTGTCCAAAATCCTGTTCACCTTATAAAAGTTTCGCCCAATACTTATATATACGAGGGTTGTCCGTAAAATTCGTGGACAAGCCAAAAATTTAATAAAAGTTGTGTCATTGATATTTATTATTGGCATATTTCTAATCCTTTACTTAATGTAAATTGAATAATGCAAAAATTTATTCAATTTCAAATGTTTAATTACAATTATGGCTTCATAATTAGACTTGGAATGGAGACCCGGAGCACCGCAAAATTTTAATTAAAAAAATATTTATCACTTTTTAAATTTCATTTGTATTTTTAAAAATTCTTGGAAAGTCTGAAGGAATTATACATTATGAGGTTGACAGAAGTTATCACGTCAAACCTGCATAATTTGAACGTTCAAAGTCTCAAAATGGCTGAGCAATCAGCTTTAGAACTTATTAAGACAGGATCGGAATCGTTCAAAAAAGAGTCGTTTTCGGAATAGGTGGAGCAGTGAACAGTGATAAAATTCTGCGTTGAGACCGGAAAAACACCTACAGAGACCAAGACAGTCTGTAAACAATCAGGAAAACATTAGTAAAAGAAGTCGTTCATTAGTATTTAAGTAGCATATAATATTTTCGGAGGGAATGAAGAGTTTACAGGATAACATACGTGAAGGAAAACCATTATTCCGAGATTGCAGTGCTGTAAAATATGAATTTCGTAACGCGATCATGCCGTATTTCCGTAAATGAAATCGTCTTTACACGGACAGTGGTTGGATGATTTCAGGATATGATACAGGAATTGTTAAATATTATTTTAAGAATGAAACCTGAACATTTTGTGCATATTTTTATGACTGTTCAAAACGACATAAGAAATTGTATTGAGTTAAACGCTGACTATGTTGAGAAAACTTACTAGTGCTCGTATTTAGCTTTTGACGTCGGTAACGTCAAGAATTTTCGTTTTAGTGCTCCGGGTAAGGGTGTGTGTCTTTTTTGTACCTGATAAAATTATAACTATTTGTGCTTTGTTTTTGTTGAAAACTTGCATATTTATAAAATGAAACATGAATTTAATAAAAATAATAGTTTCAAATAATTTGTCAATGTTTGTCCGTAGTTATCAATGTTGTCCACGAACTTTACGGACAACCCTCGTATATTATATATTAACTTATTTGAAATAAAAATTAACATATATTTTTATTTCCTTTACGAACTTGGGTTATTTTTGCTCAAATTATTGTGCCAGGAACAATGTTTATTTAGTCTTAATTAATTTTTGATTTGATTCTAATGTATTTATTAATGACTTAGTGTTTGCACTATAAATAATTAGATGACTAATATCAATGTTAATTGGGGGGATACACCCGTGTTGTTTTTACGAATATTGGGCTATGTTTTGACAACAATTAAGTATGACACTATGTGACAATATGCATAATCGTCTGACGGTCTGTTTTATTTCGAATGTACCAAAAATGTAGGAAGAAATTCATTATATTATATTCTACATAAAATCTGGGCGAACGGACCCTGTGCGAACGAGAAATTGGGCGAACGAACTCTGGGCGAACAAGAAATTGGGCGAAGGGGATATCGGGCGAACAATTTTTAGGGCGAACGAACATGGAACCGTCATACGGGGTGGTGACTATGAGGAGTTAATTACGAGAAGCCATAATTGGGAGACTTACTCATGTTAATGAAAAGTTCCTTTAAGAAACCCTTGTTGATATTTTATTGAATTGATTTGAAAAAAATATGAGTTTTTAAAATTAAGCAGTAAAATATATATATCAAAAATAAACAAATCAAAATAAATCTTGCAAGGATTAAACTTCTGTGTAGACCTATTACATGATGTACCTCCCAATCAACGGATTGTAATTTGATGTTGTGCTGTGGTTTGTTAGAAAATACTGAAATATTGAAATTATCGTGTATTTATAGTATACGTATAGTGATTAAATATACATAGTACACACTTACATTACCGTGGCATAGAAAGTACAAAAAAAATTAAACTAATTTAAACAAACTAAATTTAATTTTATTTCTAACGGGCCGAGCAGTCTTCGGTATGGGCCGAGGTGTCAATGATTTTGAGCCGACCTGTCAGGGCCGAGGTGTCAACCAGCACGGGCCGAGGTGTCGTTGGGCAAACTAATTTAAACAAACTAAATTTAATTTTATTTCTAACGGGCCGAGCAGTCTTCGGTATGGGCCGAGGTGTCAATGATTTTGAGCCGACCTGTCAGGGCCGAGGTGTCAACCAGCACGGGCCGAGGTGTCGTTGGGCCGAGTAGTCTGTCTACCTCAGGCCCTATGCTGTATTTGTGTTAAGACTATTTTTTTTTTAAAAATTTTATTATTATGTTACCGGAGTTACTCACTTGATCTATTTGCAGATCTTTTGAAATTGTTTTTCTTGTTCGACGCCATTGAAGCCTTTCAGGCTTTTGATTTTATTATAATATTGTACAATGTTTTTATAATGGTATTATTGTGAGTACATGTATGTTTAAAGGGCCCCAAGGAAGACAAAGTGCACTGCACTAATCGGGTTACCCTCTTTAAATAAAGTTAGTATTATTATTATAATTATTATTATCATTATTATTATTCAAAGTGTTACATAGGAAAACGTGTATATAGGAGAAATCTTAAAAATCTTCTTCTCATATATAATAGCTCTTTCCAGGTATCAGTGTATTATTCCATTTAACTTGTTATTCACCTTTCATTTTTATGAAGATGCATAAATGTTCTGCTCTTCAAAGCTTGCATGTTTTCACATCCACTGATCCACCCTGGTCTGACATTTGAGGCTCGACATTTTGGCTTTTATTTTGTCAAATCGCCACCTATAATCACTATATCATAAATACTATGAAGATTTTTATTGACCGGTGTTGTTAAATTTATGCGAGTTCAAACCCCACTTTAAAAATTTAAGCAATTTCAACGAACAAACTAACTTGTAATAAATCATGTAACTGATGTTGGACGATAAAAGAAATATTTTCAATATTTTGCCAATAAAATTTTTTTGAATTGGGGGTATTTCAATGAGGCGGGCAGCAATTCCAAACAAACTCTAATTTTATTTTTGCCTCAGGTGGTTAATATGACCACGTCGGAGGGATGATGCCACAATTAATGGACGATCAAAGTTTAACATAGGAATATATAGGGAAAAAATCTTGAACATTCTTCTTCTTAAGAAGCCATGGAAATAGATTATAAAAATATTACCATATCTTATGTATACAAATGAAATAGGAGTTTTCTTAGAGAAGTTTTTTAGCGAAGTCCCTGAGGAGTACGGAAAAAATCCTAATGTAATAGCAAAAGACGCTGTCACAGTAGACTGCCGATATGAGATTTTCTATTAGTTGAATGATGGTGAGAATATTGTCCATAACTTACTAATAAATCTTCAGAAGATTGCATGAGGGTGCCAATTGGTTCTTCGGCTGTTAATGACTGCTTAGCTTAGTGAGCCCATTACTTTTCAAGAAAACGCTTTATCCACGATTTTATGGGACAACCCTCGTAAGGGATAAAATTTCCCCTTACACAGTAAATGTTATTTCTTTTGCATATTTAGGAATTTTCAGCAGACTTCGTTTCAATTTTATTTTTCAGGATCAAGCATTGTTAGAAGACAAAGGAAAACTACCAGGGTCTTCAGACATAATATATGATGATGTAGAAATGAAAGACTCCTCTTCTAGTACTACAAAAGGTCTCAAGATCTAGATCTCAGACTTAATGATAGAGAGAAAATTTAAATATCATTTGTATGATATATGAAGAATATAGGACAGTAAAGGAACAGTCCCTTGTTTATCTTAAGAAAATAAAAACACAGTTATAAATTTACAACATTTCAAAAACATCTTTTCTATACAGTGCTTTAAAAACTACTTATATTGTTTCATTCAAACAGAAAATTTAAATGAGATGATTTTTTTAGTGACTCAGTTTTAATGCATGCATTTTTTATGCAAAAAAACTTTAAATTATTAATATTGGAATAAAAAGTGACACATTTATGTCAAAAACATGTAATAAATGGTTTACAGTACACATCAGCCAAGATTTAAAAATTAAGTTTCTTCTTTGTAGATACAGAAGGGAGGACTAGTGATACCCCTGTGGTTTTTGGTAAAGTCTTTCACAATCTGGATGACGTGGTGAGAGTTTGGTCGGATTATCTCCGCGTCTATCTTCATCCAAAGACAATCCACATCATAGAACAGTTCAGCCATTTAAAGTTAGTGCCTACAGTCCTGGATTTTGTTTTGTCTTAACTTTAAATACTTTCAAAAATATATTAAGCTGTAATTTTTAGCTCACCTGAGTGGAAGGCTCAAGTGAGCTTTTCTGATCATATTTTGTCTGTCGTCTGTCTGTCTGTCCGTCTGTAAACTTTTCACATTTTCGACTTCTTCTCAAGAACCACTGGGCCAATTTTGACCAAACTTGGCACAAAGCATCCTTGGGTGAAGGGGATTTTAAATTGTTAAAATGAAGGGCCAAGTCCCCTCACAAGGGGAGATAATTAAGAAAAGACAAAAATAGGGTGGGGTCATTAAAAAATCTTCTTCTCAAGAACCACTGGGCCAGAAAAGCTGAAATTTATGTGGAAGCATCCTGGGGTAGTGTAGATTTTAAATTGTTCAAATCATGACCCCCGGGGGTAGAGCAGGGCCACAATGGGGAATCAAATTTTACATAGAGATATATAGGAAAAATCTTTGAAAATCTTCTTCTCAAGAACCACATGGCTAGAAAAGCTGAAACTGATGTGGAAGCATCCTTGGGTAGTGTAGATTTTAAATTGTTAAAATCATGACCCCAGGGGCTAGGGTAGGGCCAAAATGGCTGATCAAAGTTTTACATAGCAATATATAGGAAAAATCTTTGAAAATCTTCTTCTCAAGAACCACCGATCCAGAAAAATTGAAACTTATCTGCATCCTTGGGTAGTGTAGATTCTAAATTATTCAAATCATGACCCCCGGGTGTAGGGCGGGGTCACAATGGGGAATCAAAGTTTTACATAGAAATATGTAGGAAAAATCTCTGAAAATCTTCTCAAGAACCACTGGGCCAGAAAAGCTGGAACTTATGTGCACATGGAAGCATTCTGGGGTAGAGTAGATTTCAAAATGTCTAAATTATGATCAGTGGGGTAGGGTGGGGTTGCAATATGTATTACAAGGGGGAAATCTTGTAAAGAACAAAATGGTCGAAGCTTCTCAGGTGAGCGATGTGGCCCATGGGCCTCTTGTTTGCTCATCTGAGCCGAAAGCTCAAGTGAGCTTTTCTTATCACCTATTGTCCATCGTCCATCTGTCTGTTTCAAATGTCCTTGATTTTGTTTTACCTTAATGTTCCTAAAAAGGTATTTGACTTAAATGTTTGTGATGTACATTGTTGAATAATATTGCACAATTTTTATGTAACATGATTTTAAAACAAGGAGTACTATATAATACCACCTGTTTATGTAAATGTGGTTGACATTTTTAAATTTGGTACATGTACGTACACTGAAACATTCAACATAAACAACTTTTATATAACAAAACCATTACATTTTTAGTTACATGCATAATAACATGTACATGTACTATGTGATAATGCCACTGATATTACTTTAAAGGAAAAAACTGTAAACCAATTATTATTCGAGTAATCTTTTATTCGCGATTCGTCAGTTTGAAATCAACCCGCGATGATTAATTTTCACGAATAAGGAAACATTTTCTACAAAAGCAAAGGAAAATAAATATTCGCGACTTAAAGTAGGTCGCTAAATATTTCTCGCACAGGAATAAAACTTGGTTTACAGTATGTTTAATTGATTATCATGTGCTGTCTAACCCCACACACAAAATCTGATCTAGTTGAATCCCTTTTTTAGTAGCCTCCATCCGTTTGATGTACACGGAGCTGGACACAAAGCTTTAGAAGATCATGAGGCTAGAAAGGAACTTGAGGACAGGATTCACTATTTCTGTGAGGAATGTGATAGTTTACAGGTAGAGTTATCTCCCCTCAAATGCTGATTCAAAGAACATTGGCATACATATAGTATAGATTCTACAGTTTAAATCCCATGAACAATTTATGTCACATGTCAAACCTACATGTACAGTGTACAGTTAAAATAATAAAGCTCTCTTTATTTCATGGCTTAGGGGAGGTAAATCACAGTGACTTTTGGTAAGCCACTCATGCATAGAATTAGTAGAGCACAATTTATTTTACTCAAAATCCAACATGATTCAGACGATTTAAACCAGAGGGGTTTTCACAATTGGACTTGAATTTACAATGGGCAAACTCGGTGCATTAAGGTTTAACTTTCAAGCTAGTCATGCTAGTGGTACATGTAGTAGGAATGTACAAAATATTAAGCGTGACACATTAAGCATCACAAAACTCTGTTACGCTTTCTGGCTGTTTTTCTTTTTATTTCTAAGAAATCTCTCAAATAAAATTCTTAATACTCCATCATCATTTGCACCTTGTACTATTAAAGTGCCATAAAGAGTAGACTTACCAGTTATGGCATTTCCACAATACCACATACTGAATACCTTAAGATTAGAAATCCATCAATATCAGTAGATCTAGAGAGCAGGTTCTCAAGTTTATGGTGCTATTACTTTTATGTTATCATAACTTTCTGAAATGTCTAGAACATAGATGTATATGCATCACAGATTTGCACATTTGATTTAGTTCTAATAGGTCACAACAATCATATGTTTCTTTGAACTTTTAAAGTTGTGTTTGATCAGCATAACATTTCTCCTCTTAAACCTTTTGAAATAGATACACTTTTTTCCTCAAAGAGATTTTTTTTCCATTTGATCTATAGGGTTTCCATGTACTGGTGGACACTCATGATGGAATTGGGGGGTTTTCTGCCGAGACTTTACAACATCTACGAGACGACTACTCATCAAAGTCTATCATGACGTTTGGATTTACCCCGCCTAATCTTCCTGATGATGTTAGCATTTGAATATTCTAAAACTTCTTTTTATTGATATTAACAATAGAAAGAAATACTTTGGAATATCCTTTGATCATGAGAGAGCAATATTTATGTATTTATTAATCAGCCTTACCAATTAATTTACACCCCTCCTCCATGGAGAAAAACTTTGTTCATGTATTGATTCATGAATGTTCTGTGTATTAAAGCTGAATACGACTTGTAAATAGGCATACGCCATTTTTTTTTACCGCATTTTGGCAACGCACTTTGAAAAAAATTTTCAAAGTGCGTTAAAATTGGGACAAAATCAACGCACTTTGAAAAAAATTTTCAAAGTGCGTTAAATTTGGGACCAACTCAACGCACTTTGAAAAAAAAAAATCATATGTTAGTCATGGAAAGATTTTATTTGTTATTTATCTTTCAAAAAACTGAGCCTAACCCTAACCTCGAAAATGAATTGATTTACTAGCGTCGAAAAGAGGAGAAGATGGGTATAAGATCCCTCAGTCCAAATCTTTATCTTTCCAATACATAGGTGTCGGTAACAAACGGGGGAGGGGAGCAATAAACCTAAAAAGGGTACGCTGCATTTTCAATGTTTATACAATGTATATATCTTTCCAAAATAAATGGGGGTCTTAGCCCCCCATCCCCTCCCCTGGCCCTTCGCCCAGTCTCGATGTCTATGCTATACTCAAAGCATTCATATAATTATTTATTATACCTCTGTGAATTTGTTCAATATAAAAACATGACGAATAAACATGCTATCTTTTTCAAACAGCCCCTACTGTGAAATAGTTTTTGTGCTATCTGCCCATGGTGAAATAGTCATCAAACTATTCACCGGCAGCATTCTGTTTCCCTCGCTTTTCATCTCGGAAAACTTCTGGTTTTATACGGATTGTGACGCGTATATATTATGACGTAACAAAAGTTAAGTCAGCATCGGTATAATATGGAATATCATAATTGTGTGTACCCTGGACTCCCAAGAGTTAACAAAAGTTAAGTCAGCATCGGTATAATAAAACACCTATTTACTGACTATTCGAACAATAGCAAGTTTATCGTCCCCCTCGACAGCAAACTATTTCCCTCGGCTGCGCCTCGGGAAATAGTTTGCTGTCTTGGGGAATGATAAACTTGCTATTGTCCTCATAGCCAGTAAATAGGTGTATAATATTTACGTAACTGGTATGACGTAATCAATAATAAATGAGTTAATTAAAACAGATGAAAACTAGATATTTTTAAGTACAGTAAAACGTATGAGAGAGAAAGAATTTTCATAGTTTTGAACAATCAAATTGGCCCCTTTTTATTATGATAAATGCTAAGTTGCTTGAAGCTGTCCTCTGTTAGTGCCCCCTATACACCTTTACATCTACTTATCAAAGACTAGAATTAAAAAAAAGAAGAAGAAACGAATTAATGAACTTAAACAATCGTCACTCTTTTTTTCAAGACCCTTTAATTTTCTCTTTTATTTTATCAAAACCTTAAATATTTAAAACATCAATATCTCAGGTCCTGCAGTGACTTTATCATAAAAAAAATTATCAAACCAGGATCTGTTATTTATCATACCGATTATTTGAAGGAATATTGATCAATCTTTACATTTTTTTCAAAGTGCGTTAATATGGTCAATATTAACGCACTTTGAAAAAAAAAAATTTCAAAGTGCGTTAGCTTGGTCCCAAATTTTAACGCACTTTGAAAAAAATTTTCAAAATGCGTAATTTTTCAAAGTGCGTTGTAACACCGCATTATCTACGATACATCAATACTAGGGTATACTCATCGCATTCGTTACACCTGACTACTTTATTGTCACGGGTATCGGCTTGGAATGGCGACCAGTGTTCGTGCTGGTTATCTTGCATTACAATTGTTTACATTTTATTGCAGTGACATTAATCTGTGTTATTTGTATGCTGCACTGACTTATACAACTATAATTGTAAATTTATTTGGTATCTTACTTTCCTGCATTAGACGAAGTATTATGTTATTATTCTTGCTACCGAGTCCTGTATAGCATACGTCCATATACACTGGTGTCAACTGATTACACTTAACAGTGACTAAGTCCTGCCCTATGTATTGGGGACTGCAGAGTAGCGAGACTCAGGAACAAAAATGGCGGACACATTCCTTTTATGAATCGTGTTCAGCTTTAAGTCTTCCACCAGACTATATTCCCCAAGTGAACCAATAACATTTTTATTACCCATGAACATTTATTTAATAAAAACCATTGCTCATTTTTTTAAAAACATAGGTCCACATTTGAGATAATTCGCAATTTTACATTTCTGAGTATTACTCTATGTAATGCCATTTTTACTTTCAGACTGCAGTCAGAAGAGCCAATCGAATCTTGAACTCAGTTTTAAGTTATCACAAAAGTTTTACCCACAGTTCCCTATTCTTCCCTTTATCCTTAGCCAATAGTTTATGGAAGACAATTGGAAATTATGTCAACTTTCCTCAACTTGACTACAAGGTAAGTATACATATAGGTGACTTTGACTTGTGTTTGTTATGATGTTTCATTTTGTCATTTATGAAATATAATTTCCATGGATACATGAATGCAATACTATATGTATATTTCAAACTTTGAATATACATAAATGTACATGTATTAAATGTGGTTTGCAGTACAGTGGGAATGTATAAATGAATGTAATACACTAGCTGTTTTAGTATTTCTCTTAGCTCAGATACAGTTACTTTAAAGAATCACATTTGCAATATGTTTAAAAAGAGAGAGGATTTATTTAGAAAGTGTCTTTTGACCTGAAAATTTGTCTTACATTAAAAACTGTCAACAGTTGGACTTAAAAGATATAAATATCTCAAATACATCTTGATTAGACATGCAGATATTGAACTTCTAGAAATAAGCACTTCACTTCTCTGTCTTAATTGTCAGACCTGTTTTGAATTTTTTTAATGGACATACATGTGGATGTATATGAAAGTGATAGTAATTAACAGTATTAATCAACAGCTAATTGACTACCACACCAGTGCTGTAATGGCAGCTACTCTGGACACGGCCTCCATGCCCTATAGAACAGTGAATCCTATACACATGTGTGACATCACTGACAACTTCAGCAGTCTTGGCAAAAAGGTACCTATACCTCACGTGAATAGAATGTTAGAATCTCATATGAATGCTACTCTCATATGAATGTAGCATTCGAATTTCATGTATATATATATGTCACTAGAATTTCATATGAATGTCACTAGAATTTCATATGAACATAACATTAGAATCTTATATGAATATAATGTTAGAATAACATTTGATACTGTATAACTGAAGAATCTCATGTGAATATAACTTAATTAACTCTAGTTATATATTAGTTGTCTTTTGATATAAGAGAATGTGCGGTTATCTTTTAGTTACCTACCTAACAGTAGGGTATCATTTAGAAAAGTCCAGATCCAAATGTTCAAAAGTATTTTTGAATCCAACAAATAATGACCAATATCAATGAATTTTTCAGGTGGGATCTATAAGCACAGCCTTGCCTTTCTTGCTGGAAGCTGAATACAACTTTATAGACACGATACAGGAGCTAGAGGGCTCTCTACCCTGGCTATCAGTCACGCCTCACTGCACTAATCAGTCCCTCCCATTCATGCAGTCAGTGGTGGCCAGGGGAATTCCAGAAAATGCACCAAGAAGGTATGGAAAAAAAAACAATTCATGTATTTGGTATACATAGTAGACAAAGGGAGATAATAATCTCATTTTATTAAAACAAATCAAATTTCAAATGCAAATCTTTAGATATCTTGAGTTTTTTTCTTGGCAAAGCAAGAGGTAAAGAGGTTTGATGCTTCTGAAGGAACAAGTTTGAATTAGTTGTAATTATAGGTTAAGGATAAAAAAATTTAAAATTACAAGGGACTGACAAATATTCCATATATTTGTGTTCTTATTTCAGTCCCAGAGGCCTGTACAGTTCTTGTCGATCAATTAACGACACATTACAAGTTTATCTCACAGAAAATTTCAACTCTTGTCTCAAGTAAGTTTATACAAGTTTTTCTGATGGAATACTTTAACTCTTGTCTCAAGTAAGTTTATACATGTACTATTTAATATACAGTATGTATAGTCATGAATAAATTAATAGCTACTGCATTCAGATTGCTAGTATTTGGTAAGCTAATGCTAAATGATACTTTCATGCAAATGTCCTAATATTGCTTATTGATTGATGTTGAATACAATGCTGATAATGTAAGATTCATACACTGTCAAGAACTTTAACATGTAGGCATTCACAAGCTAGGTTTTAATTTGTTTTAACAAAACCTTAATTAAAATTATAATGGATTTTTTCTCTCGTGGATGTTTTAATTATTGTGTTAGAATTTACTAAATGACAAAATTAATTACATTCTGCTGACATTTACTTTGCATGTTTTTATTGTACATGTAATAGTGCTGGAACAGTGGTCAAAGATCCAACCAAAGTGTGTACACCATTCCCTCACATCTTCAAGAACATTAGCAAAGAGGGACTTGTTTCAACTAGAGACAGACATCAATTTGAAGGTGAGATTGAATTATTTTTTTCATCTAGAATTTTGACATTGAAGTTTAGCAACCATTAATATTGATTATGATAACAGGTCATAGAAATAGTTGATAATGTACACTGTACATGTATGATTTGTACCTGTTCAATTGTACATTTTATATACCCTATTTATTTTAACTGGGTGTTGAGTCAGTTTATTGTACACTAATTTTTAAAATGCGCTCTTCTCAAGGTTTCATATATTTAGAATTCTTAGATTGATTCCAACAAATATCAGATCATTCAGAAATAGTCTATGATATGCACTGTGTATGTATGATAGTACCTAAATCTTTGAATGAACTCGTACCGTATACCGGTATGTATTTTACCAGGTGTTAAGTCAGTCTGTAGGATGACTAATATACATGGTCCCTATGATAACTTGTATATATATTTTACCAGGTGTTGATTCGGTCCTTATATTTTATGATGATCTGTGTATATATATTAGGTGTTGAGTCGGTCCCTATGATGACCAGTATATATATATTTTAGGTGTTGAGGCGGTCCCTATGATGACCAGTATGTATATATTTTAGGTGTTGAGTCGGTCCCTATGATGTCCAGTATGTATATATTTTAGGTGTTGAGTCGGTCCAGATGATGACCAGTATGCAGTCCAGTCCAGACACTGCCCAGCTGTTGAATACCTTGTACAAAGAAGCCAAGAAACTCAACATCAGGAAGCACACGCGGTACTTAGAGTGTGGCCTGGAAGAAGATGAGTATCAGGAAATACTTCAGGATGTGGCAGACCTAGAGAAATGCTACAGGCCAAAAAGTGACATGGGGTGACAGACGAAGGACCCGCCATAAAGAATGAAACACAGCCAGCAGCAGAAACGAACAATGCCAGAAGCAGTGTAGTTCACCTTATCCAACTACCATTAACACTGACTAGCTGAACATGATATATGTGTTGTATACATGTCATTAAAGTAATTTTAATTTGAAAATGCATTGCTTAACTTTAAAGAGCTTCTTTTCGGAATATGTAAGATTTGATTCCTTTTCTTACAACAATTAATGTGTGTGGCATAGACAGTTTACATGTATGAATTACAACTTTAACCCTCACTCTAATGCTCTCCAAAGAAAACATTAATTTAAAGAACATTAATAATTTTCTGAAACTGGAAAGTTTAAAATAGTTGACATATGTATGTGATACTTATACATCATTTCAAATGTGCCAAATATTTTATCATGTGCTAGTACATGTATGTGATTTCAAGAATATCAATAAATGTGCTAAACATGATAACTCTGTGTTGAATTTTGTAAATGCTTAAGACTTACATAGATAAGTTTAGACAGGGTTAAGTAATGTGTTAGTCAAAGCCTCAACATCTAGTGCCTCAAATGTCCTCAATGGAACATTTGAGGGGGATGACCAGAGAATTTTCTGATCAGAAATGTTTGTATGTGGAGAGATTCTGCTTGTCATGATTCTTTTGAAACAGGTTTATATGTATATGTATATATGTAATACAATATATTAAAAACGTATAAATTGCCTAATTTTCTTTGATTGCATAGTGTATATAGTTTGAAAGAAAAACTGAAATTAGAAGAACATGAATGTTTTCACTCTTTGTATGTATAATGCAGTTGACTTGATAGCTTTAGATAAGCAAACTGGAGTGATCAAAAAGTCTGGCTTAGTAAACCAGTAAAAAATTATCCATTTTCCCCCTTCAGATGTACTCAAAGATTCATACTACAATAGACTCATTTGACTAACACCAAAAAAGCTGAATGTGTCATATGCCAGGTAGCCAGATTTAGTCGTTCTAACTTGACCTGTGTTTAATAATGATTGAAATTTTACTGCAGAAGGAAAAATCAAGTGTACTTATGCATATTGCATGATTTGAGATTGCCTGACATTATACATGCATAAATAAAGTTATACATTGCAAGATAAATAACTTTAAAGGCATGGTAAACTGTGGATTTTTCAACATGTACTAAAAGTACTTAATTGCCTTTTCAACATCAATACATATATTTGAAAATTGTGGGGTTTTTTTTAAAAAGATCATTCTTTTATGCTTTGAAATTCAAAATGTATTCTTATGCATCTTTTTTTAAATATGGTATAGTAAATGAGTATTTTCCAGATTCAAAATGTTCAGTTACATTTTTCTGTAGCGAGTGAAATTGTTTCATAAATACTAGGCTTCAGGTCAGTGACTTTTCTTGTGGTAGCAATACCCAGCATAAGATAACCAAGAAGCTAATTTCATATTTAAAACAACGCCAAGTAATGAATTACCAGGGTATGCATGATTATCAACACAGGTATAGAAAGTTTGAAAATGACTCATCATCTCCTAAGCAAATCTCATTTCAAATAGTTGGCCGCAGAAGATAAAAGATCTTCACTCTCATATTCAATTTATACCAAATTTGAAGGATGGATGGAACCCAAAGGATTATTTTTAATTTTTCTTAATTTTAATCTCATCTCCACATTTTAAAAGCATTGCACATTAATTTCCCGAACTTTGAACTTGAATGTACACATACATGTAAAACTTTTACTCAGTTCACTCACAGTCCTTGAATGACCATTTTTGTAGCATCAGACATTAAAATTCCAAGATTTATTTGTCTGAAACTCAACATTGTTTTTTTTCTTTTTTTTTTAAATTTATCCCCCTTAAAAATTGAGAAGTATAAAATTTATCGCAAGTCATTTAAACCCTTTGTTCTCTGTTCATTATTACATATATTTAATTCATAACAAAGTTAATCTTGCAAATTTCTTTAATAAGGTGACAAATAAATACTTTGATCAAATTTTAACAAATGTTTGTTCAAATTCTTTGGAGTGGAGTGTTCAGTAAAACTTTTAAAACAATTTTCAATGTTACTGGCCAAAAAAAACTTTTTAAAAGCAGCAATTTTGAATGTTCAGTCACAGGATCAAAATTTAATTTCCACCTCTGAGACGCAAGACCAAATGGAGAGTGGATTCTTTTTGGATGTTGTAATCGGACAAAGTACGACCATCTTCGAGTTGTTTTCCAGCAAAGATCAATCTCTGCTGGTCTGGGGGGATTCCTTCCTTATCCTGGATTTTAGCTTTGACATTTTCAATGGTGTCAGATGGTTCCACCTCCAATGTGATGGTTTTCCCGGTGAGGGTCTTGACAAAGATTTGCATACCTCCTCTCAGACGGAGCACAAGATGGAGAGTGGACTCTTTCTGGATATTGTAGTCGGACAGTGTGCGGCCATCTTCCAGCTGTTTTCCGGCGAAGATCAATCTCTGCTGATCTGGGGGAATTCCCTCTTTGTCCTGGATTTTTGCCTTGACGTTCTCAATAGTATCAGATGGCTCCACTTCAAGAGTGATGGTTTTTCCAGTGAGGGTCTTGACGAAGATCTGCATACCTCCTCTCAGACGAAGTACTAGATGGAGAGTTGACTCTTTTTGGATATTGTAGTCAGAGAGTGTGCGGCCATCTTCCAGCTGCTTTCCAGCGAAGATCAATCTCTGCTGGTCTGGGGGAATTCCTTCCTTATCCTGGATTTTTGCCTTGACATTCTCAATAGTATCAGATGGCTCCACCTCAAGAGTGATGGTTTTTCCGGTGAGGGTCTTGACGAAGATTTGCATACCTCCTCTAAGACGAAGTACAAGATGGAGAGTTGACTCTTTTTGGATGTTGTAATCGGACAAAGTACGACCATCTTCGAGTTGTTTTCCGGCAAAGATCAATCTCTGCTGGTCTGGAGGAATTCCTTCCTTATCCTGGATCTTGGCTTTCACATTTTCAATGGTGTCAGATGGTTCCACCTCCAATGTGATGGTTTTCCCGGTGAGGGTCTTGACAAAGATTTGCATACCTCCTCTCAGACGAAGTACAAGATGGAGAGTGGACTCTTTCTGGATGTTGTAGTCAGACAAAGTGCGACCATCTTCCAGCTGTTTTCCAGCGAAGATCAACCTCTGCTGGTCTGGGGGAATTCCCTCTTTGTCCTGGATTTTGGCCTTGACGTTCTCAATAGTATCAGATGGCTCAACCTCAAGAGTGATGGTTTTCCCAGTGAGGGTCTTGACGAAGATTTGCATACCTCCTCTCAGACGCAGTACAAGATGGAGTGTTGACTCTTTCTGGATATTGTAGTCTGAGAGTGTGCGGCCATCTTCCAGCTGTTTTCCAGCGAAGATCAATCTCTGCTGGTCTGGGGGAATTCCTTCCTTATCCTGGATTTTAGCTTTGACATTTTCAATGGTGTCAGATGGTTCCACCTCCAAGGTGATGGTTTTACCAGTAAGTGTTTTGACAAAAATCTGCATGATTCTGAAAAGAGATGTTTTACAGTCAATCTTCTGCCATCTTGATTCCTAGAACTAAGGGGTACAGGATTCTTAGAAACGGAAGTATTTCATAGACATATCAAACTGTCATTTTCTGTAGTAAATTTGCATTTTTTCTGATTTTTTTCAAATTACAAAAATCTCTGTTAATTTTTACCATCTTTCAGTCACCACTGGCTTTCGTAAAGGCGGAAAGGGTTCTTAATCATGTTCAAACATACACGACATTATACGACTTTCAGCGTTTCCAAGGTCACATAATTAAAATCATTTATCATTATGCCTAAAACCTTCCTAAAACCTTAAATACAATATCGCCAATGTATTGATTAAATACAATTATGATTTAATTGTTTGATTCTGTGAAACGTTCTAGTCTATGACATTTCACAAAATGGCGGGTTTAAAAAATTTGGAGCCTAAGCAAATTACGATTAAGTGGTAATTCACTGTTTACTAGATACACTTTAAAACAATTCATTACTTAAAATTATTTAATTTTCCCTTTTCTAAAAACAAAAAAATGTTTTACCTTTGTTCTTCGTTTACAACGACTGTTTCTTTTTTCTCAATCGATCGTCTTTGTTCTAATGCGTTCTACTCTACCATCCGGGTGTTTGTCCTTATATACCGTCTGATCATGTGATGTCTTGTCTTCGTTTGATTGGTTAAGAAATTTCCAGCACATGACTCTATTCTAAAAATAATTGCCATTATGACATCACAATCGTAAGTCTGTTTTTAGAACGAACAAATAGAAATTTCATAAAAGATAAAATTAAATTATGTATGCACATTATATTATGGTTATACTCCATCGACCATTTAAAAAAGGTTATTGTCAAAAAGAAAATTAATGCAAACATGTTTTTGCCATGACATAATCTATTAGAAATAGAATATGACTTTATTGACTTATTTGTACAGATGAATTAAAAATAACCAATGGCATGTAACCACGGTATAAAAGCTGGGGGGGGGGGGGGGGGTTAATTTATTATTTAGAAGCTAGGATCCGGAATATGGGAATAAACAAAATGATTTGTTTCTGTATTTTTTTAAAATGCTCTCCCTTGTTTTGCTTTTAATAAATAAAATATACAATTGCAAGTAAATTTATGTCCGATCGATACGTATCTTAAATATCACAGTTGAATATATTGTCAGTCTGAGATTTTTTCAAATTTAATAATATATCATATATATACATTAAATTATTTTTTCAGTCAACTTAATAAAATTTTATATGGTCTAGTTCCTATATCCACCAGGAACATTTATTTTAATTACTATATATCTGCTGGATAGTACTTGCCAGGAGCAATTTAAGATTCAAGTTCGTACATGTATACCATGTAATTTGAGATTGACACATAAAATTAAGCAATATAATCGCCTAATCGGCTTATACAAGTAAATAATTAACTAAACACGGATAAAATACAGCCTTAATTGTTACAGGGAAAAGAGGAGCTAGCTAGACTAAGGAGGACATTTATCTATTAGTACATGTATATGTATATCATGATTAATGCATATGTGTATACTTTTATTGCAATTGCCATGTAAATCATTTAATTAAATAATTTTTATATCTTAATAAAACTCGAAATTTAAAATGTATGATATTGTCGCGGATAATATATTTCTGTTAAACATGTTAAAATTTTCAGTAAATTTCGCAGTTTGTTTTCAGTTCGATGAAGAACATTATTATATCTTAAATGTACGTATACTAGTATTTGAATTATAATTGCACTTAAGCAAGAAATTGATCACCGGAACGAAAAATCAAAAAAAAAAAAAAAAAAATTAAAAAAAAATTGATTTCCCTTTTATTTAAAATAAAAATCAGTTGATACGATCATTGGCCATGTTATCATTTGAAGAAATGGATAAAATATCATAAACAAGACCTAATATAAGGTACATGTAGGCCCCTCTTAATATATTAATTCTTTAGGTTATATATAGCCATGTACTAATGACAAAACATCCTTCTCTGAATGAATTCAACACCAGGAGGTCCAGACGAGAACTTCCGGGTCTTATCATCTTCTGACACATGTACACAGAAGCATTTTCTTTCTTTCTTTTTTTTTTTTTTTTTTTTGCTTGTCAACTTTTACAGGTAATTAAAAAAAAATTCTCTGGTTGGCCCCCCACTTTCAAAAACGATGCTACGTGCCTGATCTATGTTATATAGTGTCATTGTGCACCGCTTAGCTTTTTTACTTTTTGATCCGACACATAGATACTGAACATATCTTATCAACTGCCCATCATATATCAGATATATCTTGTATAAAAAAAAGGTTTTTAGACAACTTCGGAAATATCTTGTATAAAAAAAAGGTTTCTTAATTGAGAACTGGTTCTCTTTTATCCTTAGCAGTGAAACTTAAGGTGATGACCCTTTCTCAATGTTTAAATTTAAATATAAGATTGATTGTTTGTATGTTGTTAACCGTCCATCTCGAGATTTTTAAAATCATACGGGGACGCCACCACTTGCCCGTGGAGAGCTACAAATATTGTCCTATAACCGGCACTTTCGTGCCAGCACTTACTGCGACACTGCGGTTTATACAGACTCATCCGAAGTACCGGTCTTCATGTAAATTTAACTAAAAGACTACGACACAAAAGTAACCTACTCACCCCCCCCCCCCTCTAACTTTAAGAACACGTGGACTCCTTGTAAGTTGTTAAGGATGTTCAGATGTTCGAATATTTGATGTTAATGAAGTGACAGAGAATGGCCAGCATTCCTCCCCCCTTCTGCACACAATGGAACTTCTTTGTACATGTATGTGTGTAAAATGTTGGGTAGACTAGGATAGAATATATTTTAATAATATTTATGAGAAGCATTTTATTCGAAAGACAGTCCAATGTGCAGATTTCGCACGTAAAACATGTTCTCTTTTCTATGAAATTTCTATGTGTTTTTTTTTTTATAAAGACGGTAATCAGATGTTGTACATTTGTGTATACTTGGTAGTGTATGGTTCTGGTTCGAGGACTTTAAAAGCTGCTCTAAATAGACCCCTGACTTGCACGTTTTTCTTTGTCTCTAAAATATTTTTTTTGCTCTTGACTAACTGGTGCATTTTCAGACGACCTTCATGATATATAAGTGTTGACCTGTGAAACTTGCTTCATAACAACCTGTTGTTGTTTTTAAGCATGTTCTAAATGTAATGGTCACATGTAAACTTCAGGGGGCAGCCAGATAAACACTCTAGGGAAATCGCAAGTGCGTCAAATGGTGGCAACAGGGGGAAAAGAGTTAAAAGCTGCATAACTGACGTTTTTCTTTGTCTTAAAATATTGAGAAAGATATATAAGTGTTGACCTGTAACTTTCACTTTCTTTTAAATAGATCTATGCGTAAAGCACTTAAATATTGAGAAAGTATAAGTCTAACTTTCACTTTCATATGCGTAAAGCACAAGAGGATCGACTCTCATAATTTTGTTTGGCAATCTTCTATATATTAATTACATGTACGTGATTGTGCTGTAGAAAATATACATATTTTTTAAAAAAGCTGAATCATATGCCTTACCCATTTAGTCAGTTTTTCAGGTCAATTTTTAATAGTTATTTCATAATTTGAAATCTGATAAGTACACTTTACTATTCATAAATTACAGATTTAACATGTATATAGTCTAAATTGCCTTTATACTAGAACTTACATGATATATTTATTGTTTCATTGCCCCCCATCCCCTTTCCTTCTAATATTTTTTAACAAATGAGGACACAATTAAGCAAAGAAAATGCATATGTAGTTGAGCATTTAGAAAAAAGAATAAATGGTGCTTATCATTTACACTGAAATACCATACTTTACAAAATCCTTGTCTTGTTCATTGATAAAAGCGCAAGCCCCTGCCCACTTAATGCTGTCTCAATACATAAATTCAATACTTCCACAGGTTCTTTATTACATAATGCCATTATTCATCTCCTATTTTACTTTTTGATCTGACACTTATTTCACTGGGTCTCCCAGAGCAAAATATGGACTTTAATTGCCATTATAATCATAAGGGATATCAAGGCAGGGGGATCATTTACACATGTAGTGATTTCAGTCAATTCAGTGCTCACATTACTTCCAATGTTCATTATATTATTGATACTCTATTATTCATATTGTAAGTATCTTAGGTAGACAGAAGCACTTAGCAAGGTTCAACATTAACATTAGTCTTTTAGTATTTTCTAAGAAGACACTGGTATCAATAGAAACCCCATCAGCACCACCACTAGAACATTTAACCCAAAGTCATGAATTTCACAATCTTAACACACACACACATTTATTTTCTTTTAATATTTTGTTCAAATAATTATAAAAGTGAAATGTACATCACATAAGCACTGGGACAAAATGTTTGAAAATGAACTTTACGAAATTAATGTTTTGCATAAGTTAATTTTTATAAATACCCACATATTTACAAAAGCCATTGAAAATTTTGCATGAAAAGTGCTTTTTTTCTTTCTTTTATAACATACACAATTATTCATATATGAACAATAACATCACAACTCTTTTCAAAATGAAATTTTGTTTAGAGTCAATATGCGGTAAACATTAACATGTACATGTAGGTGGCAATGAGTGAACTATTAAATCATTGTCCTTTCCAACGTAACGTTTTGTCAATTCATCTATAACAAAAATTGGCCTTCTTGAACTAATCAATAAAAAAAATCAAACAATCATGCAATCTTCTTTTGCACATGGATCATTTAACATCTGAAGCACAGTCTATATATACAAACACAGAAGGGGGGTTCCTATGATGAAGGCATTACAGCCTTGGCTTCTTCTAGGGCAGTTTTACCAGCTTTATACTCCTCTGTTTCATTTAGATCCTCCTCTTTATTCTGCAAAGAGATTAAGGGGTGTGGTTTAACAACCCTCGTTCAGACATAAAAAACTATCTTCATTCTTATGCAAAATTAAGTTTGCAAATCTACATTTTTTGTTTATACATGTATATGTATATGTCTTTGAAAAGTTTAAAGATACATGTACTAATTAAATTAAAAAAAACAAAACGAAAATTATCTTTCTTGTACCTGTATTCTTTAATTTCAAGAACTTTTATTTTATATTAATGAAAACATGCATGAATTATGGTTTTTTTCAAAATCATACATCATGCACACTGAATACATTGCAAGAGTTCTCCTTCTTTATCAGCAAGATCTATGACTAGGTATATACTTGAGTAATATCAGTAATTCAGTGGACACTTAAATTATATTATATGTATGCATAATTATTATGCTTCCTGTCAGTTTGTCTCTATATAACCAATAAATTTTCTAGGTCAGCATAAGCAGTATTAAGTCTTTGCCGAAATAGTGCACGGCTTTATTTAGAATAAAATTCTTCAATGCACATCTTGGATTCACGACCATTAGATTGTCAATCCGATGCCTTATCGAAAACACAAATAACTTTATGAATATATGTGTTAATTTATACAATTGACACAAGAAGGAGAAAATAGACAAATATTATTTGAAAACAGTTATATTTGTAAGGAACCTTCCCTAATGTGTACATCAAACTTTCTATATGTATGTCTGCAACACTTTCATTTCAAAAAGGTATCTCAAAAGCTTTTTTTATGAGCTATTAGGATAAAAGAAAATTTTACACAACAACTCTCTATGACCTAAATTATTTAAATTATTGTTGCTTTGGAATTGCCTTCCACTTAGAAATAAAATGTAACCAAAATAACTAAGCATAGCATGCAACCAATTAAAAAAATTTTATTGAGCAAAAGTAAGAAGATATTTTATAAAATTTAAATTATAATTACAAATTTCAGCATAATAAAAAAATAATTTCCCTCCCTCACTCCTGTGTCACAAACTCTCCAGGCGTGCACCATTCCAAACAAACATTTTAATAAGGATGGCCTATTATATAAGATACTAACCAATAAATTTTTAAGGTCAAAGATCAAGGCCATAGTGTGTCAAAAATCATCTTGTCTGTTTTAACACTTTCATTTCAAAACACAAATATTTTGAAAATCTTGTTAATCATAAAGTGGGGGATAATAACTTTGGTCTGTTTGTCCCTCCCTCTGTTCATCAATCTGTCATCGGTGATTAAACAATCCAAAAATTAGCCTTTCAGCTATTACAGGATGAAATTTTAAAAAAGTTTATGAAATAAAGTTTGTTTACTGAATTACCTCCCACTTCATTAAAATCTCTGAAAAAAATTATACAAAAGTAAGAAGATATTTTAAAAATACATTATATCTTCATTTTTGAAAAAAAAAAAATAATTTTCCTCCTTCGCTCCTGTGTCTGAAACTCTCCAGGCAGCAATTCCAAACAGACATTTTTTAAGGATGGCCTGAGGGAGATCCCTATTATTGCCATAAATTAAAAAAATCTGTCTGTTTTATCACTATATACAGCAGTGACCACAATTCTTGAAAATTTTATCTCACTTAATAAAGAGTCAATGACTATCATCAGTGATTAAACAATAAAATTACTTAGACTAAAAAAGGTTTTATGAAATAAAGAAATTGAGTATTCCTACAGTATCTCTCAAAAGATTATATTCTACTTACCATCTTTTTGACTTCATATTCATCTTTATTCTCCGCCTTCATCTTTTCCACCTTCTCTTCAGTTTTGACAACTTCCTTTTCATAAGCAACCTTTTCTTTTGTCAACCTACAAAGTTAATTATACAGCAATTATACATGTTCCATTCCACAATATTTAAAACGTATTTATACTTCAAAAAATTTATACCCAACCAGCCTTTGCTTTGGGTATTATATTTCTCGTGTTTTATGCTTTTTCCCACATCTGATAACTTACCATATATATTTTTCCTATTCATGATACTTAATTTACGAAAAAGCTGTTGTACAACAAAACAACACATGGATCTGTAGCTCTCTGCTTTATCTGTCCAAATTTTCTTAACCAGAGAGCTACAGTTTTGCAGATAATAACATATCAAGTGCAGGTGCTTCACATTTTTAACCTTTCTTTTCATAAATTAAGGAAAAAAAAACCAACATATTACTATAATAATAAAAGGTTCGTTTAATATCATTACAGTATGGGGAATTTTTTTTATAAAAAGAAAGGTTCAAAACTTCAAGCCCCTGTGTACAGCAAAACTCAGTTATAACGAAGTCACTGGGACCTATGAAATTACTTCGCTATATCCGTAATTCATTATAACCGTATAAGAAATTCATTAAATTTATACAGCTGGGGATCCAAGATGACTTCGCTTTATCCGTAAATTCGCAATATCCGTGTTCGTACTAACCAGGTTTTGCTGTATCATGATTATGATTGTTATACATGTACTGTTAATTTCAAGGCATACACTACAAGAAATAAAACCAGACATGATTGACAAAAGTGTTGCTGTTAATGATTTTTACAATTTTACAATGCTTGGATACATACATGTAGCTTTCTGGTTTGTTGGTCCAAAGTTTCGAAACCAGAACTACAGTTCTGCAGTTAGCTTTGTTGAGGATAATGTCTATTCACTCTAACACTACCAAGTAACTCAAGATATCCAACTAAGAGCTCCTTGAATGGCTTGCACTTCTCACAATGACCCTGGACATCAAAAGTGTGCTAACATCTTGCTGATTCAGTCATGTGATCTTGTTTGAATTTTTTTAAATGTGATACATTTAAAATTTCAGTTACTTTGTGGCATGCCCAACACTTTGTTTTTGTATTCAATTAAGCTTACTAACATAAGGTTGTAATCAAAACCTATTTACAATGAAGAATTAGACAAATTATAAGAAACCTTTTCGAAGAACTTTATGCAGAGCAAAATATGGTTGATTGATTGTATGTTCTTTAACATCCCTCTCAAGAATTTTTCACTCATATGGACAAACCACCGCTTGCTGGTGGAAAGCTGCAAATTTTTTTCTATGCTTGGCAATCAGGGCCATTGAACAGGGAGGGATCTTTTTGTGCCAGCACCTACTGCAACAATCAGTTTATTAAAATCATTTTATATGGTCTCATCCAAAAGACCAGTCTCCACATCCCACAGTGGGATACGAACACACACGAAATAAGTATTGACTCCTAACTATGCGACCCTAGAACAGACGCTCTAACCTATGCACCTCGCAAACAACCAGATCGAAATATGAAATTAGTGACAAGGCAGTTTCTGGTAGAGAATTTTATCACCCTGATGCATATTCCTCCACCTTTAACAATCCGTGAGAGTAGTGCAGTGGAGTCAGACGAGGATTGTGGATAATCAAACTAGGCACTGAAAGTTAATTTAAATATTGATTATGTACATGTTATTTATACATGCACATACATGTGTAGCAGACAGCTAGTGTATAGGGAACTTATACTGCCTCGCCAGTGAGCTAGCTTTTCTGGTGATGCAGTAGAGTCTCCCTCTATTTCAGGCAAGTTAAGCAACGGCAAGTCTGTTTAACTGTTGGATGGGTGACCGCTTCACGTTACAAAATTGGTGGCAGCATAGTGACTCTGGTGTCTGGTGTCCTGCTTCAGGAAGTGTTAGAGTTAGGACTTAGTGTCCATTTACAGACTTCGTGTCAGTGGACGGCAGGAGGTGCCGTAACTGAGGAGGTTCCAACCTGCTTCAGGAAGCTCTAAGGCTAGGATTTGTGTCAATGTACGGACTTCGTGTCCAGGAACGGCATTGGTTGCCGGTACTGAAGAGGCCCAGACACTCAGAGAGAATCCATGCTAAGCTTCAAGTCGAAGCTTCCATGAGCGGGGGGAAGTGCATGTAGCGGACAGTATATAGGGAACTTATACTGCCTCGCCAGTGAGCTAGCTTTTCTGGTGATGCAGTAGAGTCTCTCTCTATTTCAGGCAAGTTAAGCAATAAGTTAATTTGTTTAACTCTTGGATCAGCCATTTTGTAACGGTTCTTTTCCCATTTGTCTTGAACATTTTGTCACTTCCCACAGCAATTTGTCACTTGAAAATAAAAGCACCAGAAAGTCGAAGCTTCCATGAGCGGGGGGAAGTGCATGTAGCGGACAGTATATAGGGAACATATACTGCCTCGCCAGTGAGCTAGCTTTTCTGGTGATGCAGTAGAGTCTCTCTCTATTTCAGGCAAGTTAAGCAATAAGTTAATTTGTTTAACTCTTGGATCAGCCATTTTTTAACCCTTGGATGGATGACTAGCTTTTCTGGTGATGGTAGTCTCTCTCTATTTGTACTCAATTTTTACATTCATTTCCAGTGTTTAGTTTACCAATCAGTTTTGAAAGTCTTCATAGTTTGCATTCGTTGTGGAGTGTTGCAACACCGGGTCTCTAGTCGTTTTCTAGTAGGCTTAAATATTAAATTCAATCACCGAAGTCCTGCTGCGAGATAAGTTGAAGCTTCGGTGAACCATGAACCGTGAACGTAAATACAACAAAATATTTAATGTTAAATGACAACATCATACCTTTTGACAACACCTGTCTTAATTTTAATTTGTTTAACTCTTGGATCAGCCATTTTGTAACGGTTCTTTTCCCACAGCACACTTGTCACTTGAAAATAAAATCACCAGAAAACAAATACCGTGGTTACAGTTACACACGCTCTAAAAGAACCGGAAGTGCTTCATCGCAGATGGCTAATGCGTACAGGTAGTTTTTCGGCTGTAGAGAACAGAAAAGCACACGATGGATTACTTTATAGTTTTGAACCTCTTGCAGATTATGTACTTTCTTAAATTAAATATTCATGTATTTTCTTTCATTTTCACCGCCAGCTTTTTATGTGCTATTCAATTTTTCGTCACTAAATATAAATATTTAAAAAAAATTAAATTAAAATAGTTTCAAAAATGAAAATTAATTAATCCTGCTAAACTTATTTGTTTAGCTGATTTAATATTGTTTCTTTTTCAATTTTGGGGGAAAATGTTTATAACTGCTTTTTATCAAATCTGGAAAAAAATGTACAAAATATATTTATTTATTTGAAAATGGGATGAGAGCCACGAAATCAAATCCTTTGTAAAGAACAATGGTTAAAACTTTTTAACAGAATTTTTATCATAAAAATTGCAAAGAAAGTGGGCGCTTTAGATGGCGATTCGGCAGGAATAGTTGCTCATAAAAAGAATTTAAAAAATATCATTGATTTATACATTTTTTTCAAAACCTAGCCAATGACTTTGACGTAGGTGAATATAAAATGGGCAAATATTCAGTTAAATATGTTTGGTTTTATTTGAATATGCACCTGGATATAGCCATACGAGTCAAATGATTCAAAAACTGACTCTTTTATAACCGTTTTTCATTAATTTTGTTGTTTCTGGGTCTTCTCTCCATGAATTTTAAATGCGTTATCAGCATATTTTTAACTGTAAAATTTATTCCAGTTGTTTAAAAAATGGAGAGACGACCCAGAAATACCAAAATCTAAACTTTTACTATTTATTTTCTGGTAGAAAATTGACATAGGGCCTTGGCTTTAAATAATTATTTAAATACTTGCTATGGATAGTGTCCCGCGGTAGCTACTTTGGTTTGTCGCTGGATTTGAGCCGTATCGACGCAGCATTTTAGGTTCGAATACGGTGATTTTTATTTTATTTTATTTTTTCTTTTTGCTTAAAATTTTTGAATTGGTAGTGAAAAAAAAATACTCCTTGAATAAAGTTGCAAAATTTTGTTTTATAAATTATTTTACATTAATTGTTTTATATTTTAATGCGTTCACATTTTGTCATTTATAGTGCTAACGTTCCCAGATAGAAACTAGAGGTACTGTGAGCGATGAGCTCACTAAATGATACCCCCCGCCTCCCATATGGTTATAACTGGTGAAAAAGTCCATGTTTTCCTGTGGCCGGGAAACCCAAAATATGTGTCGGATCAAAAAGTAAAATAGGAGGTGCACAATGGCAATATGTAATAAAGATTCTGTGAAAGTTTCATCAATTTCATTCAGTCGTATGAGAGGAATTGCGGATAAGAGATGGGTACCCCAAAGAGTAACATACGGACGGACGGACAGACGGAAGGACGGACGGACAGACGGACGGACGGACGGACAGACGTACAGACGGACGGAATTAACGATTACTATATACCCTCCCGCTTTTCAAGCGGGGGGTATAATAAACATCGAGAACTTGTAACTGCAAAGTTACACGTGATGAAAAAATATTGATTATATATTACAAAAAAACTAGCAACTTCGATCGTTCTGTTACATTCATTATTTTCAGTTCATTTGAAAACTGAGCACAAAAATTATTTAGTGTTAGACTTCTATTATATTCTATTAAATGTATCTAGCATAGATAATTTATCTTTCATGACATCTTTTAATTGAAAAAAAATATTTACAAACTAGAGGTACTGTGAGCAATGAGCTCACTAAATGATACCCCCCGCCTCTTATATGAATATAATGGCAGTGTCCATGTTTTGCTCTGGAAAATCAAAAATATATGTCAGATCAAAAAGTAAAATAGGAGGTGCACAATGGCCATAAGTAATTAAGAATCTGTGAAAGTTTCATTAAATTTCCTTCAGTGGTATGAGAGGAGTTGCGGATAAGAGATGGGTACCCCAAAGCGTAACAGACGGACGGACAGACGGACGGACGGAAATACCGATTACTATATACCCTCCCACTTTTCAAGCGAGGGGTATAATAAACAAACATAAGACAGAAATCCATTCCCATGAAGTTTTTAGGTTCATTGTATAAGATATGTATTAAAACTACTTGGTGCTTGGACATTTAAATCTGAATTCTTTCGTGTCAATGATTCCTGCCGACTGCCCATCTAGTGCGCCCACTTTCTTTAAGGAAAAACTCTTTGTACTCATGAATATAAGCTGGGATGTATTCTGCCTTGTTTTAGACCTAGAGACAATTTTGTAAACGTTTATTTTCTTCTGTCTTTGCCATGGAAGGGGTTACAGTAATGATCAGTATACTGTAGTATATCTAGGAAAGTGACGTGCAAATCTAAGGAAATAGTTTAATCTACCTTACACATAAATTGGTGAATGCAGAGCAAACACTACTGCAATAATGTAGCCCTCTGAGCATCCGATTTTGTTTGGAGAGAACGATCATAGGCATTTATGCCTGCTGTTCAATCCATTTCTTAATGAATAAAATATATTTTAAACCATCCGATTTTTTTATCTGATACCCCCCCCCCCAAAAAAAAAAATGGGAGAGGGCTACATTATTGCAGCTAAGCAATTACGGACGTCTAAAACATCGAGGTGAGATTAGGTGTAATGTAGAAGTAAGTATACGCTGTCGACCGGTCACATCCGCTGTAAATCTCTGAGTAAAATATACAAATTCCACGTAGCACACATCGGATGCAATCTGAATAAAATACAGATCGCTATACAATATCGCAACACGATCCCTGTGCGTTTTGCTATTGTTGGAATTTGTATATTTTACCTATGGATTTTTCCATTTGTCAGATCCTGGAAAAATCCATAGTATACAATTCATTGTAGAAATATTGGCCTTACAATTTGTATGGAAAACGTTAGTTAACAAATCGACTTCACGATAAAATGTATCTGCTAATAGCTTGCTTCCTTTCAATAACTTTTCGCATCTAGAGTATGCGGCTCTCATGTATATATCTAATAAATTCGAAGACATCCATATATGCAGGTGATAATGGTACAGTGTATATTGCTACATTTCTAACACGAGGTAAGTTATTGACAAACAAGTTGATGAAACATGTATATCAGCAGTCTCGTTTAAAGTCATCGTTCGTAAGTTCTATGGTTGATACAATGACCATTAAGTCTAATCTAACTGACGCGTTTTCCATATTTATTGTTGGACCATTATTTACACACTGAATGTAAGATTTTCCGTTATTTCCAGATCATGGAAAGGAGCACACGGGAGGGTGTGATCTTTCGGTTGGGGATGCTAACTCCTACATGGCCACATCCCACTTCTGATGTTATAGAGGTCCGTGTTTTGCCTGCTCCTAATTTGCATTATTTAAAAGACTTTTGAACTCGAATACTAGATCTTTGTTTCATACAAAAAGATAATGGAAATTGACAATGAAAAAAGTCATCATAAGTCTGGTAATACTGGGCGAAATAATTACCCATGGGAATTTCAGCAGATTGTACCACTTGCTATGCATGGTGGCATATCCCTTGCCCCCACCCCCTGCATGCAAGATAAATCATGTCAACATGCGAGAAAGTTATGTGAAAATAATTGAACGTTATACCATCATTTTCAGAAAATCTTATTTTATTATGGGCTTTACTTACTAACGCCATTATCTGCCATCACAGTACCCAGATGCTACATAAATTAATATTTATCTTAATTGATAGGCGACTTACTTATGTCAACATGTAACATGTTTTTATACAGAATCTCTCTCGGATCGATACTAAATTTCATACCTTTGTATAGAGCTTTAATTACTGCCAATCTCAGTCATTTGCATGTTTCTGGGTGGGCTTTCTCCAGGATGAAGTTTTGATTTTAGATTTGATTAAAGCTGAACACAACTCATAAATAGGCATATGCCATTTTCGATTACTATCTACGATATCACAACCGAGATATGTGCATCGGGTTACAGCGTGGAATGGCGTCCCTCACGTTCGTGATGGTTATCTTATATTACCTTTGTATACACATCTTATTGCAGTTATGTGTATTTGTGACTGTTTGTAAACTACACTCAGTGCATTAATTGCAACTGGTTTGGATCTCTGGTGTCTTACTTTTCTGTATAAGAAATAAACATTTATTTTTTGTCGCTACCGAGTGGTGTAAAGCATACGTTCATCTACACCGGTGACGACTGATTACACCGAACAGTGACAATGAACGGCTTTGTATAGGGGCCCTCAGATATAGCAAATGAACAATCGAATATGGCGGAAAAAATACTTTTACGATTCGTGTTCAGCTGGTGTGGAATCGATTTGTTTTGACCGACATTTTTGAGTTTGTCTTTCTTCCTGTCTCTGAGTCCATCGGATGAGACCTTAAATTTCGAGTCCCCGCATGTCACAGTAGGCGTTGGCAAGATAAAGATCCCTCACTGCTCAATGGCCCTGTGTGCTTAGTAAAGGTCTGAATTTGAAGCCCTTTACCAAAATTAAGTTAATCTCTGTATGAGGGAAAATATTCTCGAATGGAACGTAAAAAAGATACAATGAATCAATCTCAATCATATGTTATGTATATAGTATGAAAACCAAACAAAATATCGAAACTTTTTTCATGCAAATTTTTTTATTATTAACACAAAAATTCAACCATATGTTTATGTACGAAATGCACAATCCAAATCTTTAGTGAAAAAAATGAAAAGCTAGGCAAAGTACACTTTAGTCTGTCCCTAACATATACCCGGTAGTCACAAAAATTAAATGAGTCATGATTTTAAAAAAAAGATATGAACCTTGCTGAAAAAAAATTTCATCAAAGATAAAACTTATGAATACTCCCAGACATAAAATGAATGCATAGAAAAGCCAGTTTAGACAATTCATATAGATCCACGCATGTCAGTGAATTAATTTTGTAGAAATGCATAAAAAAGGGAAAACGTCGACAAAAGCCCATT